GTTGTATGAAAAAATAATGGAAAGATTTATGTCGTCTCAGTTGTGGAAAAGACATCTATACACTCATAATTGCAATGAATAAATTCTTATTCTTGAATAGAGACATTCAACCTTCTTTAAAGAATTTATACAATTGTGACAGTTAGTGTGTGAGGTAACTTATTCCTGATATGAGTATGTAGAAGCATCTCGATATTTTCAGGTGGAAGCTCCTATATCTCTTGTGAAGTGGAAATTTAGTAATTCTTATTGTAGGATGAACTTTATTAATTGATTTTAGAAAGATTTTATAGAGGAGATGAGACATCTCAACGCCATCGATCAGTTATATGAGATAACTCAATCTGTAACAATTCAGATCATGATTAGCATAGATGTCTTCATGCTTTAAAATTTTACAAGTGTGATTGAATCATCTTTGTCTTGAAATAAGCAAAGAGTTAGAATACCTCTCGCTAAAGCAAATGACATCTCGGGACTCATTAAGGTATAATAAAATCACTCTTATTGCTTGACTGGAGGTTCTCCATCCTTTTGGGTATTTTTTATAAGATGTAAGCTTGACATTTAGGTATCTCGACGCCCAACGAAATCATGTCAACAATGCCCCATTATGGAGCATCTTAGTTTCTCTTGGATAACAAAGACTTCCTTCGATTAGTTAATGAACAGGCAACTCAACACATTCAACCAAGGAGAAAATATCCCCACTATAATAACACAGTAGAGGTGTCTCAATGCATTCGGTCTAGTTTTATTTTCAGAAGTTGCTAAGTTTTAGTCCAAGTCAAAGACAAAAACCTAGCTAGTAAGTTTTATCTAAACTACTTCCTAGTTTGGAATACTAATGGAGAGGCAACTCTCGTTTTCACTGGTCACATAAGGACTATTTATTTTTATCTATGTGTCTAATTGAATTTATAGAAGCGATTGAGAAGGAACTGATACAATGGTTTACTATAAAATTATATGGGTAGTTTGTTATTGTTGTCTATTTGGTGGGGAGGTAGCACAGTGAATGGTAGATCGATCATTGATTGATGTTTTAAATATTGTCTTCATGAAGAGGTGTAGAGGAGATGAATAAAACTGAGATGATTTTATTTAGATCGTATCGTATCTCTCAGTTTTGGTTGAAAGGTTTTATAAAGATCATCGATATGAGTATAAGATGTAAGGATATAATAACTTTGTATATCTGTAAGTTAGGAGGATACACTCATATGACAACAGATTTAATTCTAATAAATCATATGAATCTATTAGAATTCATGTGAATAAATTACGATTTCACGATGAATAGTAAATATTTGATATCCTTCTTCTAAAGAAATGTCTCCCAAGTTTCCTAGGTGCCAAAGATATTTTTGAGTTTTTTAAAGATTACAAGGTACGAGAGGTAAATAGAGAACCTTTGGCGGAGTAGGATAATATTAAATTATCTGATATTTAAAATTTAATCTTGAAAGATAATCTGATATGTCAAACAGATTTCTTACGGAAAAACACGTAGGAGCTGCGTGAAGGAGGGGACTCGTAGATGAGGATCAGCAAACGGATCTGAACCGTCCGACGAAAGGGATACGATGGAGTCACGGTCGGCCATAGAACTTCCGAGAATGTAGGCCTCATAATCAGTTGCCTATCAGATTATTTCCTCTTGTTGGCCTGTTGTCACGCTTACGAAATGTGGGCAACTAATGATGACGTGTAACAGGACCCACCCCCAAATTTTTTTTAATAAAAAAATCAGAAACTTGCCTTTCCGTCAAATCTCACCGCGAATATGAAATAAAAGCGCCGAGCCCTGGCACGCATTTACATCACGCGCTACGCGTGGGACTCACATTTCAGGCAACGTGTAAAACAAAAAAATAGTTGTATACTAAAAAAGCAATCCGACGTGGCAATTCGCTTTCGTTATCTGTCGGACTTTGAAGACGACACGTGGTCTGTGTTTCCCGCTTTATTCGTTGCCTCCGATCTTGTTATTAGATGCCCTTCCGCTTTTCCATAGTCACAAAATTTATAATAAAATATCTCCAGATAAAAGGGCAAAAATATAAGATACTACGGCAACGGTGTTTTTTTACCCAACTGATGACGTGGTAATTTTAATTTACAGGTAATTTATACCTTTAATATTTAAATTATTAATTTTGATTCGTTTCAATACTTAAATTTTTAATTTTTTTAAAATTATACTTAAAATTTAATTTTTATTTCATTTTAATATTCTTAATTAAAAATCTTTTTTCATCTTCCACCCTTACCCCCATCATAATTTTTTTATATTATTTTTCTTCTCTTTTCTGTCAAGGAGAATTAACGGTTAATGACCATTCTTGCACCAACTACGGCTCTTTGTTCATTTTAAGAGGGAACAGAGGCGGAAGGAAGGTAATGGGTATTAGTGGGGCCCCCAAAATTTTGAAAATTAAAGTTTAGATTTTAATTTTTTTTAAACATTTAATTTGGTCCCCACAATTTTTAGAAACCTATATTATTTTTTTAATATTTTTAGTTAAATCCCTCCAATAATTTTTAAAAATTCTCATTAATCTTCTCAAAATTTGAAAAATTATAATTATACCCTAATATTTCTAAAAATGTAAAGTGAACCCTTCAAAATTTTTGAAAATTTTAATTTAAACTTCTAATATTTTTAAAATGTTAAGTTGACTCTCCCAAACTTTATCACTAAGTTCCACCATTGAGAGTGAACCATGCATTAGCGCTGGTCAGAACTCATTTATTCCTATCAAATAATATTCAAATGGTTGATTTAAAATTCAATAAACAAGAGATTATGTTTCAAAATTATAAGGAGTACAGAGACAGATAGCAGAACTAGACGTTTTATTACATAATATTCACCGTCTCCAGACTCCGTGTCGTCCACTTTGGACTTTCTGAGTAGTTAACAAAAGCGGTTCAATGCACGAGGATGTCGTTTTATGGAGCAATAAAAATAAAATAAGAAGAAACTCAATTTTAGGAGAATCATGGGACCCACCTTAATGGATCCCTAATCCCTTTTCTCCTCCTTTTGTCTCCTTGTGATAGCTTTCATTAACTCGCTATCGTGAAATCCCAAAGCTATGCCACGCGTGCAGCCGATGTGCCACGTCATCATGATTGCGTGGCAGTCTTCCTCACCTTGTGTTTATTAAACCTAGCCGTCAACAACAGCAAGCCAAACTTCCATTATTTATCTAATTAGTTGCCAGTGTTAGCGTCATTGAATTAAATTTTGAGGATAAAGAACATAAATCATCAGTAAATTTCCTTTTTCACCCTTGTTTTGATAATTTCAGTTTATCTTTAGCCAACTTAAGTTAACAAACAAGTTTTTTTTGGGGGTGGTAAATTACAACATTTATCACTGAGTTTTATTATCTTTCCTATTTTACTCAATGTATTTTTAATTTTTTAATTTAATTATTGAATTTTTAGATTATTCATATTTTGATCACTCTGAATTATTTTATCATTATTTTTCATATGACATGATATTTTTTATTATTTAATATAAAAATAATTTGTAATATAAAATAAAAACAGAAGGAGGTCGTCTACTATTCATTGGTGATGGGTGCCAACGATCGTTGTAGATGGGGTCGTTCAGTATTCATGTTCTATTCATAAATAAAGGTATAATAATCCATGTACTTAGTTCACATCAACAATGTATAATAATAAGAATTCCATGTTATTAAAGTGTTGCAAGATATCATATCGTGTTATAAAAAAAATAATTCATTGTTGCACTCTATGGATATTCATGTTTAGCATGGAGCTATTACTCATGAATGCAATTTATAAGAATTTAATTGTCCAAATAAACTAGATAGAGGTCATATGATGCAATGACATGTCTAAGATCGAGGAACTATATCTTTACACCTTTGTTTTTATCCACCATATACGAGTAATTATGTTGGACTTTCAAGTTCGTCTATCTTACATGAGTGTTTCACTTGATGTTAATCTAGTGCTATGATGTACATGGGCTATTAGTTCTTCCACCCTTGTATGATATGTTCTATATCATATTAGTGTTGAGTTCATGGTATTAATATTAATATTATAGCTTGTATCACTCAGACAGACTCTTATACGATATAGTTAGGGTTATTATTTAATATTATTCAATGATAATTAAAAGATCATACATGATAACTCAATGTTAATGATACTCAATGACATGTTATCATTATAACTCAATCTTATTACAGTTTTCGGAATTTCAAAAAGGGCCGTATAATAGAGCGGGAGAGCAAAAAGAAAATCATTAACAAGAACCACTTCAACCCAACAAGTTTGGATTGAAACCTCCCGATAATGGGCTCCCAAGTTAAAACCCTTCCGAGGATCAGCTCTCAACGAAATCCCTAGATAAAGGCAAAGAACCCACCTTACAACCAATCTGCAAAGCCAAATTCTCGACCTTCGACATCAAAACTCCCACCCCCACACTACAAGACTTGCTGAAATTAATGCAAACACCCGAACTAATCTCAAAACACCTCAACATGCTCTTTAAATTACTGATATAATCCTCCTCTGGCTCAAGGGTTACACTTTCCAATGTCATATCTCTTAAATGGAAATTGAATACAAATACCAATTGTGGTGACCTGGACTCCCATACCATACATGGTCGACAGAACTTCCTCAGTGCGATGGTAAAGCATCGGTTTTCATGTGAAGAACCTTAAGACTTCAAAACATATGCTTAATGAAATGCAGGACCGATCTACCTTGTGCAACAGCGATATACATACTCAAGGTCAAGAGGATATAACCAATTCATTATAATTTAAACTCAATAAAATTTTACTCTACTCGTACCAAAAAAAAAACTAAATTACTAGTTAAATTCGCCAAAATGTTGCCTTCTTTTTAAAAATATATATCTAAAATCTAATAATACCATATAAATCTTGATATAAAGATAAGCAAACAAGTTTAACATCAACAAAAATCAAAATAGTATATGAAACAATTTCAAAGTCTTAACTCCAAAATAATAATCCACAAATATACCAAACCACCATATTACAACAAAAGTAACAATCCATAAACACACTAAACTAACATATATCATTCTTAAAAAAAGTTTAATAATGCATAATTAATTATAGATATATTAAAAAATTAACGAGTTACTCGCAAACTTATCGAGTCGAGTCTTGTCCGACTCAACTCATTAAGATCTCGAATCAAGCTCAAGTTTGAGCAGAGTCAAACATTGACCAAGTTTTGACCTAGTTAAACTCAAGCTGCTCGCGAACTGATCAACTCAGTTAGCACAACTTAGTTAACTCAGGCATGGCAATGCTACACATACACCAAAGACTATAGGTAGCTTCATTAGGTTTAAAACTTGTAAGACCAATTCAAAACTACAAGCAACATTTTGACAAGGCAAAACCTTTCTACAGCTCGTTCACAGCAGTTAGCTGAGGTCATGTCCAGATAGAACAGTCAATTAGAGTTGAACCATCGAAATTGTAGGGTCTTGATTACATGCCCCAAATTCCACGCACTGCTGCAATTTTGTTGTTTGGTTTTGAAGTCAGTTCAAACAAAATTCTCGCAAAGGTATCAGAATGTCTACCATCTGAAAAGAGTATCTCAGCAAAAGAATTTTCATAAGCTAGCAGCGAAATCCGGTTCTGAGGATCAGATGCAAGGTGCTCTATTATCATTGCAGCTTTCCGGCAGACTTCTGGCACTGGATGTGGTGTCTTGATCACTTTCAGCATACGATCAACAGCCCTAAATTGGGTGAACATTGTACATAAATAAGATAGCCCTTTCAGCTGTAAACTTCAATAATAACATGACTATGTATTATCGTAAGTCACCATCACTATGTCATTGGACAAAATTAAAAATGAAAACAAAAACTTACCATCTCTCACTAGCTAGCTTCAACCTGCAGTCCATGTTGACATCAACAAGGTTATAGAGTGCACCAATGGCAGCAGCTTGTGCATCAAATGCTTGCAAGCTCAAAATATCTACCAATCGCTTGTACATCTGCAATTAATCATCAAGTTTGTCTTACTATTAATATCATGACGAGGCATTTAATTGAGAAAATATTCTAGCAGAATGATTTACCTGGGGAACAAAAGGGAGGAAGAGAGGTTCATTATCGGGGTTTATAATCATGCGCCCAAGAAATTCTGAAGCCGCACAGTGCCAGGCTTTGACGGGAGATCCTAGCATCCCCATTATAGCTTGAACTGCACTTTTTTCTCTGTTTGGTAAAAGAGTAGATGTAATCAATGACCAGAAGTTGGGAATTAGAAAAGAAAAATATGCACTCAGGCAATAAAGTAGATCGGATTCTCACGTTATTTTAATGTAAGATGGCTTTGGAGAACTAAAAATTCGAAGGTCAAGCAAGGGGGCCAAATTTACAATTGTCTCAATAGCATTTGTGACGAGCTCCTCATCCTCTGTCAAGAAAATAACTCTTAAAAAAGCACATGAAGACAGATTGAAAGAGTTAACGTAACTTCTGCAATTAAATATTAGACAAAAAATACCATTACGCACACAAGAAAGGCAGCCTTTTTTGTAGAAGCAGAAAGGGGAAATAAAAACAAGAAAAATGAAAATATTTTCAACAGCAGGAATATATCAGAGTTCTCATTCCACTACTGATGATTCACCTTTGATGAACTCAGTAAACTCAACAGCACACATTTCAAGACCATTTAAGAAATGCAATAATTTTCCTTCTATACTATTAGTCTAGCAAACTGTTCAGGAATGTGGCATCTGATGGGATGATTCAAAGATCCTGATCATCCCTGTCTATTCAATGAACTAATAAATATCTACCATCTAAAATGCTTGAACCCTACCATAAAATCTAAAAAAGTAAATAATTTTAATGGCATAAAGACATACAAACAAAACACTAAACTATACAGGACTAGAGAAAAGATGGGAATGGTAGTATCATTTCACCTATGATGTGATCTTCTATACACTGAAAAACAGTTTCCAAGCAATGCCGATGTTGAGCCATGGCAATTTCATTCTCTGGCATGAAAGAAAAGTTGCGTATAATGTTAGAAGCCGCAACAGCACACTGCTGTTTCTCTGCTCGACCCTCATCATCCAGATTAAATAAACCATCTTCATCAAGCCACCACTCCGAACGACGGCGTTTGCTTGTATTCTTTTGCCCAGGTATTTCAGCAGCAGAAGAACCTGACCCCAAACTGTAATAGCATAAAAATAGTCCAAATTTATTTCCTTCTACATAAAACCAACAAGACGACAACAAAAACAGTGTTAAAGCCTACCCAGACTGCGGCAGCAAGGTATTCGATCCCAATGCCTCATACTCATTGCCAAATCCTGTTACAACAGAATTTGCACCCAATGTTCTAGCCCTGTGTCCCTTTCTATGTTCCTTAGGCAGTGCTATATCACGCCAATCGTCTATCTGCTCCATATCATAACCACCATATCAAATACATAATTTATTTTTATATATTATAAAAAATGGCACCAATTTATACCAAATCATAAAATTGAAGTTTATCAAGTCGTAAAAAGAACCTACAATTTGAAGAAGAGCATCGAGCAAGCCCGGAATTTTGGCCAAGCAGGCATCTTTACGGATATCGTCTTTCTCTTTGAAAGAGAGCAATGTGAGTGTGTTCAAAGCCCAAGTTAACTCACTCTTCAACCCACTTTGAAGCGCTAGAACTATCCTTTTATTGTTCTGTTCTACTACCAGTAGCAATAACAAATTTAATATTCCAACCTTAAGACGAAATTACTACGAAATTAATTTCAATTAAGAAAAAAATGCTAATTAAAATAGTGAACGGACTGCTGTTTCTTTGATTTTAATTATAAGTTAGGGTTTACCAGAGAAGGAGTTGTGGACTTGGAGGGAAGGACCGAGGAGAGTGGACGGAGCCACTGAATCAGCGGCGGAGGCGGAGGCTACGCTAGCAGCTGTGCTTCCAAATGGTCGGCCTCTCTTCGGTGGTGGCGTGCCGTTGCCAGCCGCCGCACCACATGATTTACCCTGCTCTCTCTTCTGCATACTTCGTTTTTTTTTTTTTTGTCGATTTGCTCTGTAATTAGCTGGAATTTATACACAGTGATATTTATAATAATATTATAAGACTGGGCTGACCAAAAGAAGGCCCGAATTAATCCGGGCCGATTTTTCCCATGTACGTAATAAAGGACTTAAATTGTATTTTAACCTCTGAATGTATTTAATTTTTTATTCAGTTACATTTCTAAATTTTTAATTGTTATGCATAGATTTTAATTTATTTTTATTAAAAAAATTATATGAATCTGTAAGAATGTTAATATATTTTAAATTTGAAAAACATCTAGAATATTCATAAAAGAACTTTAAAGATCGAAAAATCTAAAAAATATCTTTAAGTTTTTCTTAAATATTATTTTTATTAAAATTCTATATAACATATATTAGATGTCACGTGACATGCTCCTAAAGTGCCACAGTTTTTGTAACCTTATTTTTTTTGTGGTACAAAAAAAAAAAGTTCAAAGCCAATACATACCTAAAACTAATTGGAATTTAGATAGAGATTCACACATTGCAAATTGAATGTTTAACGGGATGTAATCCTAGGCGCGAAGAATAAAAATAAAAAAGGGAGAGTTCCTTGCTTCATTTGAGTGTTTTATTCCAACACCTCATTATGTTCAAATTTTGCGGATACTGTTATTTATCAAACCGTCAATCAATTCTTATGTCATGAGCCAATTCATCTCCTTAATGATTGACTTCATCCCCTAAACTTTTGACTGATACTATAGACAAAGGTTCATTCTCTAACGATCTGTATGTTTACAAAAACCCAAACACCCACTTCAGCAGCCACCATGACTAGCTATCTCATGTCCTTCAATCCTGTAGCACTGAATACAGCATCAAAGTTTGAGTACTTTATCCTTATATTTGACCTCCTTGATATTGATATATCTTACGGACCTGATATTTAACCTTCGATTGAAATGACTATTAGGCGAGCTTTTATGAAAAAGTTGGGAGTACAGTGAGCAACCCCAATTCTTCATGGTTTGGGTTAGCCGGTTAGGATAGGCATGAGATTCTTAATCTGGATCACGGTTAAGACGAGGCTCAATGTGACGACCAAGAGGATGTTCAAGAACCAAAAGACACAATTACGTACTTCGAAATTACACTATTGAAATCTTTACATGGAAAGTAGGGATGGGTATGGGTCGGGTTTTTGGTCCACCCGACTTGACCCGAGAACAAGGAAGCCTCCACCCGAGACCCGACCCGAAATAATAAAAAAATTATTTTTATTCAATAAAAACAGTGATTTAATTGAAAAAATTATATATAGAGGGGTATTATTATAATTATTCCTAAATATATAAAGTAAAATTATTTTTTTCGGGTCGGGTATTTTTTATCATAAACCCGAACCCGACCCGACCATAATTTTAAAAAAAAAAATCATATCTGATCGGGTCGGTCGGAACCCGTCGGGTTCGGATTGAGTGACCATCCCTAATGGAAAGTAATAAAATCTTAAAATGACAAGTACAAAACATGGATTATAGGCCCCAAGTAATTCAACCAAATAAACCTTGACATGGATGTTTGAAAGGGTTTGAACTATTAAAAATAACTGTATATATGTTCCGTACTAGTACATAAGTATCCAAGGAGTAACAGATTGTCTATTCAATACAATACTAAGCAAAATCTTACCCATACCTCTCTAATCTGGCTGGACTGAGCATAACAAGTGAAAGTTAAAATATATAAAGGCATGTGAGCTGATAAAATTCCATTACAAAATGCGATTATACCTGTCTAATCTGACTGGACTGAGCATAACAAGTCCTCTTAACCTGGTTTGGGCGTCTCAATGTAGAACACTCTCAAAGTGTAATTGTCAGTTTTCTTCACATCCACATGAGCTTCAATCAGAGTTTGCCATTTGCGCACCAGAGACCTTGGTTTGTCTGTTGTAAAATTCATGCCCTGGAAATTTGAAAAAGGAAACAAAGCAAATTTGTTAATTTATCAAGAAAAACAACAAAGGAACAATGGCATAAAAAAGATACTTGTATTTGACATACCCAGAAGTTGGTCAACACGTTTTTCCCTTGAACATCTTCAGCTCTTAAATGAATCTTTCTGAAATCATGATCCTCGTCGCCTCCCTGAAGATCAGCCAGTGAAACCTCAAAGACACGGAGTTTGAGTCCTTCCGAAGCAATCTGCCAAAAAATAGAAAAGGCCAAACCATTTAATATACACATAAAAAATACAAAAAATAATGAATTTAGCAGGCTAAAGTAACACTGCTACAGAAACATGCTAAATATTAAATACAAGGAAGATTTACCCAAGGTCTCAAACCCAGATGGCATAAATGGAACCAAAGTCTCTAAATAACTTATGCGGACCAATAACGCAAAACTAAAAAGAACCAAGGAAAAAATAAGTTAATAATTTATCAAAACTGATCCTTTGAAAGGTAATCGTATAGTTTCCCACAGTTTCTATCATAATCAACTGTTACATCCTCCTCTTGGTATCCATGAAGTAAAAGGTCATGAATTGAGGTTTCATACCAGACACAGCACAAACTAGAACTTCAACCATTGCAGAGCCAATTTGCTTGATAATATAATTGGCATAAAGCAAAAATAAGCCCCTGAACTATGTATCCCTTTTTATTTAAGTCCATAAACTATTTTTCGTTCAAAAGAATTCCTTAAACTATTATATATATAGTAGTTCCAAGTATTGTCATATTTTCAGTTAGAAAAAATTCTTTTGACCAGTGAGATGTTGACATGTCAGACAATTTGGCACTTGTTTTGGCCAAAAATAGTGTAGGGAGTGACTTAAAAAGCAAAAAAGGAGCATAGTTTAGGAGCTTATTTTGACCAAAAAAATAGTTTAGATAATTATAATGTTTACATATAATAGTTTAAGGATTTATTTTTGACCAAAAAATAGCTTAGGGACTTAATCAAAAAGGGTTTATTTTGAGTTTAAGCCAATTTAATATATCAGGTTTTTAACAGTTTATCAAATGAACGAAGTAGCATTTCAGCTAACAAGAATTATAATATCACTCAAAGAAGAAAAATACACATAATAATCGGCTTATAGATACAACACTAAACAAGCAATAAAATTATATAGCTAGCTAGTGTCACTCCAACTACTCAACTAACACTTCAGCTACCTCCAGCTGCCTTTAGTCTTCAACTCAGCTACACTCCAGCTAAGTTCAGCTTCTTTCAGCTAAGTCCATGAGCTGCCATAAGTTGCCTTAGCTTCCAATGTACCTAGGTAAAGCATGCAAACAAGTACTTAGATAGATAATGAGCTAGGAATGCAATGATAATATGTCGCATGCTTATGATAATTATGCAAATGATATGCAAGCTTATTTTAACAATGTGAAACATAACAAATGCATGAATTAAGCTAAGTAAATATTTGATATCATAGGATATGCATGAATATCAATGCAAGTAAATGAAAACATATGAATATTAAAGTATAATCTAAGGTGTCAAATCATGTATATGTCACATGTAATGCATAAATAAGCCAATAAATAATGAAATAAGGAAGAACTCCATTAGAATCAACTTGGAAGAATTTCAAAGTTGTGAGGATGCTCTGAACGATTTTGGTGCTCGGCAGGATCACATCATATATATAATGTTATTTTTGTAAATATTTTAAATATTAATTTATAATTATATTAAATCAGATCGGGTTGGATATTTTTACTTTAAATCCGATTCCAACTCGAATTTGATATTCTTTCTCGTGTATCACAATCTAACCTGACCTAACTCTGATTTTAAAAAACTTTGACCCAGTAGGATTGGATGAAAATCCGCCTGACTCAAATTAAATGTCTATCCCTATTAATATATATTGATTATTTTTTCTAACGATATTCATTTGATTCACGATACTATTATTCCTAAATGATAGAACAAATTAAAAGTTTAATGGAACATATATTATTATTATTATTATTATTATTATTATTTTAATTATATTATGAAAAATAATAAATTTTAGATACTTATGAATTTAAGTTGAAAGAAACATAGAATATAATATTTTATTAATTAAAATAAAAACACACTCTTGTGTGTTAAGTAATAAATATTGACAATTAACACATAAAAGAGAACAAAATTTGGAAAATATTATGGGTGAGGAACAAAAGTTTTGAAAAGTACAACCGTTCAAATTTTGTTTGGAGATGAGTTTAAAAAAATATATTAAAAAATAAAGCTCATCATTAGACGACAAATATATAATTTTTTTTCGTGATGAATTTTAATTATTTATTATATTCTATAGAACTCATAATTTCTTTACGATGAATTTAGAAATTTTGTAATAATTAACATAGACCTTAAATTAATTAATTAATTTTTTGATTAATTTAAAAAAGTTTAAGAAATAATAATAATAATTTTTATACTTGAACTCAAGACTTGAATAATATAAATTTCTTTATCACACAAGATGAGGTTGTACTTAAATTAATTTTTAAACACTTATATTTCTCTAAATTTGTTTCGTTTGAATTATTTACGATATATATATTTTCCCTTATTTTTCCTTGTTTTTTATTAGCCTTTTCCCCTTTGTACTTTAGCAAGAGAAAGTGATGCCACTATTTTGAGTTTTCCGGCGACGGTTAGATGGAGGCTGTGGTAAGGACAGAGGCGACTACAACGGTATCATTCAGTTCGATACTTAATAAACCCCTCATCCAATTAACCGAAGAAGACATTTCTCAACTCACTCGCGAAGATTGTCGCAAATTCCTCAAAGAAAAAGGTGCTTTTCCTTAGACATCCCCCTCTCTTTTGGTTTTCATCGTTATTTTCTTTTTTCTTAACCGTATCTAGAAGACCGCGAAACATGGAGGGACATGAATAATATGTAATAAATAAACCTTGACAGGGATGCGAAGACCGTCATGGAACAAATCGCAGGCAATTCAGCAAGTGATTTCGCTCAAGGCATTGTTGGAAAACAACGAAGATTCC